TGCTCCGACTCGACGAGTTAAAACACCTACTCTTCGAGTCTACTCCTTTATTTACACATAGCACCCCGAACTTATATTCCTGAACTTGTGATGTTACAACTCTCTCCCACTTAAATTAGGCTTCGACCTCGAAGCCTGCTGCAGCACACGATTCTGGGTAACACTCCTACATTGCAGCCTCTGATCTCCCAAACCAGACCAAATCTCTCCAGGAACTACTACCACGTCCCTTCTAAGGACAACTCCTTCCTGAGCAGGATCCCTACCTATTGTTCCAAGCCTTCCACCGACCTCTTCTCCTTGACATCCACACATATCAATCTAAGTATCACTCGATGATACTTCCACCTTCCTGTCATGCACGCACTTTCGTGACCGACGAAGGTTGGTTACTACTATAATTCACGGGGCTCTCTCTCACAGTATTAATCGACCCTCCCCTTTCCAAAACTGGCGATAACCCGGGTAACTTGCAATATTGAAACTCATCCAGTTCCCTTCCTGAATCTAGTCCCTTTCCGTGCTGACAGGATGACACATCCTTCAGCTTCCGAGCAACTCTTATGAACAATCAGTTATATTGCATAAACACTCATACCTGGCCCAATCAGCCTCGGGCTGGAATACCAGGTATGCCTATGACGGGTCCAGTCATCCCTAGGATGGTATACCCTCGCATCCTCATGCATGTTTGGCCCAATCAACCCTCGGGTTGGAATACCAAACACACCAGGTCCAATCAATCATAGGGTCCGGTCATCCTCATGATGGAATACCCTAGATTGGAATACCACTACATACATATCCCATGTCCACAACCATACTTGGAATCCAAGGATCTATCCTTGCATCTCTTTCAAACTCCTCTGATTCGACACAACCGAGTACAACTTACCCAAATCTCAACAATACATCAAATCCGAACGTGCTCCTACGACAAACATAATCACACAATCTCTATGCCCACAACCTATGACTGGAATACCCTTACGTGGTCCTCAGCATAGGTCTGGATTGCCTCTGAGCCCACATCATGAGTCTGGTATGCCCTCCCCGGCCCTCAGCTCATGCCTGGAATGCTCCCAATGACCGATCGGCACTACTGTCGCCACTTCAGTTGCCCAACACTCCGACCCTGCAGCTATCCACATCCCTCCGCCACTCGAAGGGCCTAATCGACGCTCCTCTCATCAACGAACAACATACGATACAAAAACTACTACCACACATGAATCCCAAGACACATTTGGAGTTCGATCATGCCACTTCTATCCCAGGGGAGTCTGTTCCTTTTTCTCCCTTTTATTGCTTTTAAATTATTTTATGCGTACAATGAGGGCATTGTATGTAATAAGTGTGGGGTAGGGGGTAGAAAAAGTAAATTGCTAGAAAAATTAGAAAATTTTAAAATTTTAAAAATTTAGAAATTTTTTTAATAGATTTGAAATAATAATCTAATAATTTAATCTAGTAATAATAATTTGAACTTAAGTTGCTAGTGTTGTATGGGATGATCCGATGAAAGCTCAAATGTTTCGTTGAGCCAATATACGTTATAGTGCATTTGTGGCCCCCTTTATTCTAGTGAAATCATGGGACAAAATCACAATCTCGCTTAGTTTGAGGATCACAATATGTTTAGCATCGTGTACCAGAAATGTATCCAGGAAGGCTTATGTAGTCATTGCACATAGACTAATGCCTTAACCAATAAAGGTTGAAGTTAAGCGCCCTTGCTTAAGCATGTAGGTTTTTGAGTGGAAAAAAAAGTGAAAATACATGTTAAAAAAAGAGAGAGAAATTACAAAAAAAAGTGAAAAAGTTGAAGAATTTTTGGAGCATTCAAAGTATAAAGTATGAAGATAAAAGATCAAAAATTCTGAAGAAATTCAAAAGTTGAAGATACCAAAAATCAAACACAAAAATATGGTGAATTCAAAGAAATTAAAGACCAATTATTCAAAGAAGTGAAGAATTCAAAGGAGCTCCATTGTGGTATCTAAAGTTTTAATTTCTAGATTATGTATGCTTGGGTTGCTTGACCAAAAGTACCTTGAGGTTAGAAAGTTTTATGCGGATGGATTCGGAGGGATGCATAAAATGAGCGTTGTTCAAAAGAAGTGGGCGACTGTTTATTAGGATTGTGAGTATTTAGAATTAGGGGGGTCCTTAGGAAAATTTTAGACACAAATGCATGCGTTGCGGTCTTGGCATAATTGTTGAGCTTGAATTGGAATGTTCTATGTGATGTTAGTGATAAGAGTTTGAGTTTAAACATAATTAGATTTGCTTGAGGGCAAGCAAAGAATAAGTGTGAGGTATTTTGATATTTCTATATTTATACATGTTTTTAGGCAATATTTAAGTACATTTTATACATATTTTGGTTATTTGCATTGAATAATGATACTTATAAGTTTAAATTGTACTTTGCAGCCAAATAGAAGCATTCTTGAAGAAAAGGGACTAAAATCGACAAAGCTTGGAACTTTGGAGGCTTGGAGAATAAAAGAAAAAGATACCCACGAAATCAGCTCAATTCACGACGTGAGGATTGCTTGCTCATGACGTGAGTTGGAATATTCCAGAAGATAAGCATAGCAGATCAGACTCTTTGTCAAACACGGATATCTACTGTATTCACGACGTGAGGCTTACTTGCTCACGACGTGAGTACAGAAATTTCAGAAAATATAAATAGGGCTTGTTCCTTACGATTAGGGAGCTTTTGGCTGACTTGGAGAGTTTCAGAAGTCGAAATTTACAGAGTTTGAAGGCCTGGAAGTTGGTTTACATACCAAGGAAGAAGAAGAGCTCATAATTAGCTTAATAGTTTGGTACATTTAAATATGTTTTTGACTATGGTTTGTTTATGTTTATTTGTTAGCATGTCCAGCTAAATCTAGCTGCTTCTGTTAGCTAGATGAAGCTGGAACTCATGGTTTTATTTAATTAATCTAGACCTTGCTTGTTGGTTATGTATTGTGTTTGATTGGTTTACCTAGCAAGCTTGATTCAATAATTAGATTGCTTTAATGTCTAATTATGTGTAGTTAATGACCATTATTATGCATGAATTGGAACACCTAGTAATTTAATAAACATTAGGTTATTAGAGCTAAGATCGAACCAATCTTAGTTAAGGAATTGAATTATTAAATTAGGTTGTGCTAGAGAACTCATATTATGACCATAAGTGTGTTTGTCAAATCAATCTTACATAGCTGCAATTTTATTTAATAATTGATTTGGTGTTAAATTATGTGTGAACATACATAGATCTACATGAATTAATTAATGTTAGTAAATTTAAAACTGATTTGGTAATACTATTTTAATTGGTAACCAACAAGAATTGTCATAACTAATTTGTAAACCATTGAGGGAAAGTAGATTCAAACTAACAAAAGTGTTTTGTTTATTGATTGAATTCGTGATAAGAAATTAAGTTCATCTAAACTTGCAAAATTAGATAAAACAACCACTTTGCTAGAAAATTAGGTTAATTTAATAGTAGGTAGATTAATTAGTCAATACCGTTCCCTGTGATCGACACCCGACTTACCTAAACTATTCTATAATTTGACTAGGTACACTGCTTAGGTGCAATTTAGTTAGTTAAGTTAGTTAGGTTATAAATATAAAATTAGGTGTAGCTATTTGCACACATCAACTTCTTTGAACATTTGGTGGTTAATGTGGTAGGTGGTTCATGTAAAAGACAAGACATGCTAAGGGAAAGTCAAAGAAAAAGGGTGCAAAAGTCAATTGCAAATGGTGAACTTGAAACCTGAAGAGGGTTAAACCAAGAGAGCTCTCTTGTTCGAGGGGGAGATACAAGATGGGGTTCACATTTCAAAACAAATCACAAGTTTGATGAACTTATTCCGGAGGTTCTTAATGTTCTTGCTTATGTCGAAGAGGAAGGATCCACTTTAAGTAACCGAAATCAAGCATTTGGTATCTTAAATATTTCAAGACACTTGATTTCATGTTTTACTTACATTTGATGTATGAAATTTTACACCTCACAAACGTATTGTCAAAGCATCTTCAAAAAAAAAAGGATCAAGACACTTTAGAAGCGACTTCTTTGATTAGAGGGACAATGGAGGCATTCAAGTCTTTAAGAGACTCGGGGTTTGCTAAACTTTTATTGAAGGTATTTTCTTTTTGTCAAAAACATAATCTTAATATTGTGGAGATGACGGAAAATTATGTCACATCGAGAGGCCGTAAGACTAAAGTTACTAACCAATTTCATTTTGAAGTTGAAATTTTCAACACGGTCATGGATATGCAAATCATAGAATTCGGGAACCGATTTAGTGAACTTAGCACCCAATTAATAGAATACATGGGGGGCTTTGAGTCCTTGTGATTCATTTGCTAAGCTTGACAAAACAAAGTTGTAAAAGGTGAGTGAGTTGTACAAAAAAAAAATTTGATGATGCAACTTGATGGTGAACTTGAGATATATTATCACGCTTTGCATAAAGATGAACGATTCATTAGTTTGCAAGGAATTTCCAACCATTCTCATTTGATGGTGGAAACGGGAAAACATCGGTCTTATCCTATGGTTATAGGTTGTTGAAGTTGATTTTGGTTTTACCCGTCACGACCGCAACAGTCGGAAGATGTTTTTCTGGAATGAAGTATTTGAAGACGGACTTACGTAACAAAATAGATGATGATTTTTTGAATGATGTCATGATTTCTTATGTTGAAAAAGAAGCACTCATGAAAATGAAGATCGAAGATGTAATGGATCGGTTTCAAAAAAATATATACCCGTAGATGTCAAATTTAAATATAAAAATGTAATGGATCTGTTTAATGTACTAGTACTTTTAAATTTTTTTTATGTTATTATATTTAGACGGAAAAAAATAAATGGTGCCACTGCCATCATAATTTTTGCGTCTGTGCCACTGTGCATATGTTGGTTTGTTATACCCTGTTTGTTACGGAAAACATGACATGACAAATTATATTGTGTTTGACTTGGATGACTACTTATATCAAAAAGTTGGAGCAAGGGTAGTCTTTTAATTGGATCATATATCTATTGTAATATTTCCTTCTACAAGAAGGCGTTGTTTTTACTTTTTAAGGCCTCAGAACTATAATATACATAGAAAGGGGATCAAAGAGCGTAAGTTGCTCTTAAATATTCCACAATTTCAGCACTCTCAAACATTTTCACCCCCGTGTTTGGATCTTCCAAATAAGGTGCCTGTCAGTGAAAGCTAATTAATTCATCTTTTAAAAAAAATCATAAATTCATACAGTTTTTCAATGACACTGGAAATCCTTAAAACAAAAAAAAACAAAAAAATACCTGGAAGTGTCCAACCCGCTTAAATAATTCTTGTCGTTTTGGGCTTCCACGAGCACAACTGAAAGCAAAGGTTTATTATTTAATTGCATTTTTTGGGTGTAAATGTTACAACTTAATGGGAAAAGCCTCTTTTCCCTAACTTTCTCTATTAAGTCGTTACCTCTGTATTAAGTAAAAAAGAAATAAACATGCTTACTATATCAAGTCCTTTAGAGTAGAAATAAAGAGAAACTAACTCTCAAGTATAATATGAGTTTACCTGTGAAGAATATGAGGAAGCTCCAACTCTACAAGTACTTCACGCACAAGTTTGCTAAAAGGGGATGCCTAAAACAGAATGCCTAATGATTATAATTTCACATCTTAAGAAACAAAGAATAGTATCTCATTGATTGTATCTCTCTTACCTCATACGCCCATACTTCAAGAGGTTGTGCTGGCATCTTTGCCTTGGTATAGATGCTCCCCTAGGGACAAGTATTAAAAAATTACTATAATGTCATCATCTTTGGCTGCATTTGTTACATGGGACAATATTTTTAGGGCGGAGGGCATTCACGTCTTTTGCACAGACAAAATATCACACTTTTTTTGGGAGTTACAATTTTGTCTCGTAAACCAAACACAGTACAAGACTGTCATGTTCTGTCAGTCTTGTCGCAGGCAATGATTTACTAACAAGTGTAGAAATTGTACCTTCCCCATTCGACCAATCATGGCAAAACCTGCGGTCAAAGTCTGTAATGGAATTAGTCAACAAGAATGATTTCGAAAACTTATGATTTATTTATGCATTGATTGATCTTACATAAACATAATCTTGAAGATCTAAAATTGAATTTTTTTATTACTTACTGTCAACAGACCAAGTGACAAAGATAATGGCACACTTCCATCTCCTGGATAAAGGAATCAACACCACATTTCAGAGATTATGTGTAACACAATAACAATTAAATTTAAAAAAAAAAAAAAATCAAGAAAGAGGGCTAACCATATTTCTGGACAAGATACTTTATAATATCATCTGATTCATACATTGCCACTCCTGTATTTGGATCTACCTGCACAAAAGGAAACAAAGATAATTTAAAGAAAAAAAGTTAATAATAATAGAAAAAAAAAAAAAAAAAACTCAAAGTATTGGCATACCATGTAAGGAAACATCTGTTTGCCACCCATCTGGCCAACTTTGGGGCGAAAAGTTGGGCCATTTCTTGGGCAAGGGTAAAATAGTACATCAAGATCCAACACTGCAACGATTTCTCTCACCTGTTATAATTTCACAAAGAAAAAGATTTAATTTTGATGCGTTAATATATAGAATCAAACTTAAATTTTTTTTCCCAAGGATAAGAAACTATGATTTCTAAATGTAGATGATCTTACCTTACGACAGAAAGGGCAGCTGAAGATCCACAATGACGAGAAAGTTTGATACATGGATTCAGTTTCAATTCATTAGAGTATAAGAATCAAAACTTCAAAAATGAATAACATAATAGAAAATGAAATATCAAAAACAGAACATAAATCATCTCTTTTAGTACCCTTCAAATTCGTATATCTCAATAGGCTTTTCGGGTCTGGGGCCTAATTTTGAGCTCTCTTTTACTATGTATCCTGCAAGCATAGCATACCTTATATATTAGTAGTTAATAGTTCATTTGAAGATACTAAGGGAGTGTTTCATGTTTGGGATTGCTTATATAAAACAACTTGATATAAAGCCATTAATGAGATGAGCAGATATTGTTACCAGAAACTTCAAGACCATACTGGCCAGATGGAAACTCGTTCTTGGGCACAAAAGAAACTGAATACCTGATAGATCACACATATGAACTTGAAGTACTTAAAATCAACTAACAGCATCATTGATTATTAATTATCAATAGTTATATCACAATAATTATCCATTCGCAGTTAGTTATCCAATACTAATAGTTTTCAATTGAATAACGATGTAGAAACCTACCCAGAAACAAAAACACCAGTCCCAAATCGAAACAAGAGATTCAGACTAGCAGTAATGACGTCGGCAACCTTGTCCGGTCTAACGGCAAACCGCTTCGGCTCCGGAGGCTTGAAGTTAGGCGGAGGAGTGATTGCAGAAACCCCTGATTTTGGTTCCTCTTTAATTGAAGTAGAAGAAGTGGAAGCGGTATCGGAAATTTCTGTTGATGATCTTATCACAGAGACCCTATTGCTACTCGATGTTTTTGTTTTGAGATGACGCCTAATGGGCATAGAAATCGGTGGTGTTGACTTGAAGTTCAGAACGCCGGCCATGGTGTTCCGGCGAGTGACTGGTGTTGTGGGGTTGAAGGGTGTTCGACGTGAATGCGCTCAAGGAAACGGGTGGGAGTTTGTACTTTGTAGCATTGTGGAAAGCATGATGCAGAGGTTAATTAGCTAAACCATCTACAAGTTCTGTTATCATTCTACACCACAAAATAAGTGCATCCATGGACCATGTGTTTGTGTCTGTATTTTTATTTGAAAAAGTAAATATCCTTCTACTTTTTTTTCTACGTATCCTCATACCCAATGAAATGATAACTTGTGTAACATTTAATGTTCATTTAATAATATTTTCATCATTTAAATGGGTATGAGGATTGGTAGAATCAAAATGTAGGAGGATATTTAATTTCTCTTTTTATTTTCTATAAACTCAAATATGCATTCATTATATTATATATAGAAAAAGCCAAATTTGAGTAATTTCATAAACCGCTAGGGGAATATCCGTATGAGTTCCTGAACAGTAAAAATATGGTTAAAATATTAATAAATACATTATAAAAGTAACTAATTTTTTATTATTTCATTATGATAATTATTTTTATACTAAATTTGATATATATTAATGATATTATTTTAGTCCCTATATTAATGATATTATTTTTATACTAGATTTGATATATATTAATGATATTATTTTTATACTAAATTTGATATATATTAATAAATACATCAGAAATTTGGCAGCCCACTTCTTCCTATTTAAACTAGCCCATAAAGCTGATATTTTTATTTAAGCTATTTTTTGGCTCCTTAAATCTTAGTCCATAGATAACTTTTGTGTAGTAAAATGGCATATATCATTCTTGACTTCACAAATCTAACTTCACTAAGTAATAAAACATTAATTCAAACCGTTCAAAAACCAAAACACCAAATATGTATCAACATTCGAAAACAAGATAAAAACAAATGTATGAAAGTAACAAAGTATCAAATGTAGCAACTTAATCATTCGTAGATATTTTCCGGTTTGTTCGTTTATTGTCACTTCAATCTCTATGGATAAAACAATAAACAAAGTTAAGATTAACATATTATACGTTACAAATAAGGGTTTAGGTCATTTTTGGTCACTTAACTTTTGGTTTTGTACTCATTTGGTCACTTAATTATTTTTAAGTTTTAAAAGGTCATCAAATTTTTAATTTTTTGCTCATTTAGTCACTTAACTTTTTATTTAGTCACATTTAGTCACCTAACTTTTAAAATTGTGCTCATTTAGTCACTAAACTTTTAAATTTTTTTAAAAGTTTAGTGACTAAATGAGCACAATTTTAAAAGTTAGGTGACTAAATGAGCACAATTTTAAAAGTTAAGTAACCAAACCAAAAGTTAAGTGACTAAATTAGCACAAAGTCAAAAGTTTGATGACCTTTTAAAGCTTAAAAATAGTTAAATGACCAAATGAGCACAAAACCAAAAGTAAAGTACCCTATAAACTCAATCTAATCAATTTTTTGATATTTGATTTGACATCATTGTTTTGATATTATTACACTTTATATATATATAATATATATATATATATATATATATATATATATATATATATAAAATAAAATAAAAAAGAACTAAAAACCGATTGTATATAGTCGTTCGAATTTATAATGTCGTTCTATTTATAAAATGTTTTTCGAAATTTATAATAATAATAATATTATTAAAATTAAAATATAAAATATAAAATAATTAAAAACCGATTTTATATAGCCGTTCGAATTTTATAACGTCAACCGAATTTATATTGTCGTCCGAATTATAAAATTTTGTTCGAAATTTGTAATAATAATAATATTATTATTATTATTATTATTATTATTATTATTAAAATATAAAATAAAAAATAATTAAAAATCGATTTTATATAGTCGTTCGAATTTTATAACGTCGACCGAATTTATAATGTCGTCCGAATTATAAAATTTTGTTCGAAATTTTTAATAATAATAATAATAATATTAATGTAATATTAAAATAATAATAATAATAATAATTAAAAATGAATTAAAGAGAACAAAAAAAAACAAAATAGGAAAAAAAACAAAAAAAACAACAAAAGACAAAAAAAAATCAAATGGGGGGGGGGGGGGGGTTGGGGGTGTGGAATTGGTAAAGTGAGGGGTACTTATAAAAACCTCAACTTATAAACTTATTACTTTTGACAATGTAGTTAAGTGAGGGGTACTTATAAAAACCTCAACTTATAAACTTATTACTTTTGACAATGTAGTCCTTTAGGTTATTGTCATCATCTATATTGGCTTCCTCGAATTTCCCACCTAATCTTGTGTGCAAACTAAATCCTTACCTATGAAAATTGGCAATTTTATTCTATATGGGTAATGGGTCTCCTACACGACGGTATGTGCTAGACGACGACTCAAACGCCATAGTAGAAATTTGTATTGCCACAATATTTAACAAAAATAAAAAGTTCATAAACAACAATTATGTAATAGATTATATTAAAAAACTATAAACTTAAAATAATTTATTTTTTGTTATCTGAGATACATATCCGATGAATGAATAACATCTTATTACCACCACATCACCATCTCAATAGTAAAAACAACTTTGGGTTTATTTAAGTACCTCTATAACTCATTCATTTAGTTACTTTCTTCCACATGTAACCTCTTAGAATGATGGACCCAATATTATTCACTAGGTTTCACAAGTCTAACCTATATCTTTTAACATATATTTAAGGATCCACATGTAAGCTCTTAGAATGGTGAACCTAATATTATTCACTAGGTTTCACAAGCCTAACATACATCTTTTGACATGTATTTAAGGGTGGAGGATGAAGACTATGAGGAGGGATTTGATATTTAGAATATCACAATTTATGTAGTAGTTATTTTTTGAATTGATGTTATCTACCTCTTCTAATAAATTAAACCTAAAAATGACAAGTGTCAGTTTTTTAGAATGTCTCTTTGACACGTGTCATTTTTCTATGATTTTTATTATTTCTTTTTGGAAACAAATCAAATTCAATTCAAATTTTAAAAATACAAAATCATATCCTAATAACATTATTATGTTTATTTTGATTAACAAATTAATACATAATTACTTACAATCGACAATATCTTGGTTTTTTTTTACATTTATTATTTTTTTATCTATATAAAAAATTTTAATATACCGACCGTGGATTCCACGGGTTATAACCTAGTGATATTATATTGACCACCTTCATACTCCATGCTTTTGAATTGCAAAGAATATTAAAACTAAGACTTTGAAACCATATTTCCGCAAGAGATGATTTTAAGATAGTTTAATGATTTTTTAAAACATTTTAAACAATTAAACTAAATGTGGAGTGTTTCAGTTTATTATTAAAGCTACATAGATAATAAAAATATCATATGCATAACGAAAGTAAATTCCAATTAAATCCTATTAACTAAATTGTATAACAACTAGTAACTTTCTACCAATGAAATTTAAATTTAATCCAACATGACAACATTGATTGCCCAAGCTTCACGATTGTCCATGGACAACTTTCACGATTAACCATGAGAGATTTAGAAAATTCATAAAATATTAGACTCATACTTTCTTAGATTATTTTAAAAAGGGATAATAACTTTATAACGTAATAAACTATTATCCATCCGTTTGTATATTTGGTCACTATATTTTATTTATACATGATTTACCATTAAACTCATACGTCATGTTTAAAATATATCATTTTGATCGATAATAGACGGTCTAGCAGCTTTTCAGGACCCTTGTGAATTGTGAATGACTTACATGGTAACAACTATTTTTTTTTTTTGTAGAGATTTGGTTACTCACATATTTTATGCACATTACCATTCAAGCAATATTTATGTTTAAAAAAAATACCATTATATTTTTTTACAACTTTTTATAACACTTTAATTTTTTTGTAATATTTTTTATAAAATCTTTACAATTTTTTTTTACCATTTTATATATTTTTTTTATTTACAAAAAGAGAAGTTTTCAAAAGGTATATTAAAATATTTAAAATTTTGTAAAAAATATAAAACAAGTTTTAAAAAAAGCTGTAAAAGAAGTTTAAAAAAGTATAAAAAAAAGTTGGAACATAAGTTTAATGATGTATTTTGAATAACAATGTTATTTTAATGGTAATTTTGTGTATAAAAAAGTCACTAACCAAATATATACAATGAGAATAATATGTTACCATATATAGTCATTAACTCATTGGAAAAATCGTCGGAAAGCGATTAAACTACACTAACTATTATAAATTAAAATGGTATATTTTGAACACTAGAAACGAGTTTAATAGTAAACCATGTATAAAAAAAGTACAATGGTACTTAGAGCATAGTTTGTTTAAGTCATTATCATTTAAAAAATTTAGAATATTATTGATTGATTTTTTTAATACATTAATTGTTTTTTTCTCTTCCCGTGCTCTTTGGAAAAACAATATTCACTAAAAATGCCGAAGTACTTGAAGAAATAAATATAAAATCTTAATTTTTCTTATATTTCCGTTAATTTATTCGTTCAACTAGTTGTGACATCCATGTATTACATGCGTTAATTTAAAAATAAAAATTAAATATAAATGTCAAAATATTAGGAACTTTGAAATTTTAAGAAAATAAGAAAAATAATAAATTATTATAATTAGAATGTTTTTTATCTTTTAAATTTAAACAAATAATTTAAATAAATAAACAAAAGAAACTAATTAGCTTTAATTTGAAAATTTTGAAATTAAAAGGTAAGTTCATTAATGAAATTAATATTCATTTATTATAATATTTCTTGCAATTATTACATTAAAATATTATGTGCAGTTTAATAAAATAAAAAAACTCAAAATGACATGTGGAAAAAAGTTAATTCAAAATAACCAAAAAAATGACATTTGACAAAATTGAATAAGAGTATAACATGTGACAAAAAAATCATTTATTAAAGTAGACTAGTTGTGAGGCCAATGTAATACATGGGTTCATATAAAAAAATTTAAATGTAAATGTCAAAATGTTTGAGAACTTTGAATTTATAAAAAAATAAGAAAAATAATGAATTATTATAATTGAAATGTTTTTTATCTTTTAAATTAAACAAATAATT